AGGTGTTCTGATACATGTACACACTGATAAATGGCTGCATTAGACAGATTAACATAAGTTTTCCCTCACATTCTTATTTTTGTGGTGAGAACACGTAACATCTACTCCTCGTAATAGTTGACTATGTACTCAACACATTGTTTTTAACCATAGCTATCATGTTATGCACTGGATCTCTTGAACCTAGGTTTTTTTTATCTACCTGAAATTTTCTGCTCTTTGACCAATGTCCCTCCCACCTTCTTCCCCTCTGCCCAGTCCATGTGGAATAATATTCTACTCTCTACTTCTGAGTTTAGCACTTAGATAGCACTTATGATTGAGATCACCTGTTACTTGTCTTTTTCTGTGCCTTATCATTTAACATAGAGTCCTCGAAGTTCATCCATGTTAACATAAATGACAACACTTTCTTCTTCTTACAGGTCAAATATTATTCTAGTGTGCATGGACATGCATGTATACACTTACCCACATACTCCTACATTATATATATATAATTTCTTCACTCATTCACTTTTTTGATGGATCTCCCCCCGAGATTGATTACCAATTCCATATCTTGGCCATGGAAATACTTTAATGAGCATGGTAGAATCCACAACATCTTAAAGCTAAGGGATTCTAAGAGAAACTATGCCTTCCTATGAAGTAAGCACCACCATGCAGACTGGAAAGAGCCTTAGCCAGAAGAGAAACTGTGCCTTCCAGCCTTCCGGTGAGCTAGCTGGTGCTGAGAACCCAGGAGAGTACAGCACCCTCCCCACACACTGATTCAGAGGACTTGGGGTGAGATAATAGTAACTGAGGGGAAGCTTGATGCTTATGTGGTTTGGTTCTGGGTCTGGTCATCAGGACATCTACATGGAGGATGGCCACATGCATTGTGTCAATTGTGGGGTATTTCCTCCTATTTTATTTTTGAAATCCAAAGTTTTGTTCCATTTTTCTGTTTTGTTTTATTCTTGTGTCTGGTAACCTGAGCAACTATTTTGACAATAACAGTGTGCAATACTGTTCTCACTGTTTTGTTTTGATTTATTATTTTACTTTATTCAGTATTATATTTTGATTAGTTTTGTTGTTTTGCTTTGTTTTGTTTTGTTTTGTTTTGTTTGAATTTGCTATGTTTCATGGTATGGACAATTACTGTGAAGATAGTAAGATAGATTATGGTAGCCATTGTTGATTTCGTATTGTCCTGTTTTGGAGTTCTACCACTTACACTGGTGTGTTTTGATTGGATTTATTCTGCTTTGTTGGGTTTTATTCTCTTAAAAATAAAAAAAAAAAAAAAAAGGAATTCTGTTAGATGGACCCAATAAGATTCTACTGAAGGCCAAGGTGATAAGATATTGAGGGAGGGGGGAAAGGAATTTGAGTGGATATCAAAGGTGAGAGATTTTCGTTTCACTGAGCCAGCAGAATTCATAACTGGACTAAATGGGCCAACCACAGAGTTCAAGATTAAGACCCTGAAGGCTTAGCAAAGCCTGACTAGAGTAAGATCAGTGGGAGAGTTTTGTCATATCAAGGAGGAGCTGGTTTACATCTCAAAAGCCCCCAAAAGTCCCATGTGTTAAAGCATGGTCCCCAGCCCAGGGCAGTTATGGGGTGTGGGTTGCAGTGGGGAGAAGTTGTGTCCCTGGGGCACGTCTCCAAGCTAACATTTCTATTTCTCTCTGTTTCCCAGCTTCACTGAGGGGAGTAGTTCTCTGCTGTGTGCTCCCTCCTGATGTACTGAGCCACCACAGGCCCAAAACAGTGGGACAGACAACCCCAAAACCTCTCAAACCATGCCCTAAAATAAGGATATCTCCCTTTTTTCCTTTGGTGCTGGGGACCAAGCCGAGCACCTCACACACAGTAGGCAAATATTCCAGGCCAGGTCTAAACCTAGCCTGATTTTAACTTAATCAACTCAGGGATTTTGTCATAGTTATGAGAAACCAACACAGAAGAAAATCAAAATGGAGTATTCACAGCTCAGGATACTAAAATTGGAGCTGGGAGGCATTTGTCAAATCTGACCTCGGAGGTGCCTGCAGCTGGGCTTTTGAACTGGATTGTAGTTCCCCATCTCTGTGAGAGCTAACCTTTGGACTGGACCAAACAGCAGTTTCCTGAAATTGTTTTAACATCTGACCTTCAGTCAGCAGGACTCCTTCCCCCAAACTACCCTGATACCTCCTCTGTACAAGACAACCTAACTCTTGCTGGACCCAATCAGAATTCATAAGCAATATGGCTTCTAGTGCATCTTTGTGGTTTAAATCTATAAATAAAACCACCATTTTGTAAGACCCTAATCTTAATAATTGCTTAATTATCTTAATAACCCTAATAATTGCTTAATAATCTTAATAACCCTAAACTTAAATAATTGCTTAAATCTATTTTCTCAAATTACAGTCCTAGTTAGCCCCAGATAAATGTAATTTCTTTTGTTCTTACTAGATTTATTTTACTGTTTATCAAAACCATAAAGTATTTATGGCTTCAGGTCTCAAGAAGCCAGATGGAAGGTCTTCATCTTCCCAACCAATTAATGAAAATAATGGTTATTTTATAATGTCACTGTGAGGATTAAAATGAGAAAATGCTTGTAAAGGGGGAGGCACAGTGGCCAGTCCATGGGAAATATATAAGGGAGATTCTCCTTTTGTGTTTCCTTCTCATATCTCTCTAAGGATTTCATCAGATAAAATCTGACCTTGTCCTCAGTTTACTGCATTTGAGAAATTACCACCCCCATATTACTTAGGTAGCTAAGAACCATAAAAATATTCCCTCCCTCTATTTGGATACTAACTGAAGAACTGATACTGAAAGGGAAAAACTATGCAAAAGAAATTTCTTTTTAAAACTTTATTCTTTTGAAACTGCCTAGCTCTGTAACTGCTTCATGGCTTTATAACTACTTTCTTGACTCCTGAACATACAAAATGCCTGATTGTACCTTTACACCAAGCTTCATGAACTGATGATCATTAATCTACCCTTGTAACTGATGATCTCACCCTGCTAGCTAATCAGAAGAACTGCCAGACTGCTCTGTCTTACCTTTGCATCTCCTTTGTACCTCCCACTTCTGCATCACATAAAAGCTTGCTGAATGAATATGTGAGTTGAAAGGACAGCATAAGTGATAGGCTGCTCTGTCTGTCATAATAGAGGCCTCACACCCTCCATAGCTAAGTTGCAGCTAAGTCCCCACAAGGGCATCTGAATGGTCTCTCTCTGAGGGACACTTATTCTTTGTCTATTAAGCCATTATTCAAGGGCACACAGCATACACCATAGGCGGACAGCATGGGAGATAATTAGTTAAAACTCACAGTCCCTGGCCAGAGAAAAAGAGGCTTTAACAGAGTTAAAAGTGATGTCATGAAAAGCACAAACAAACATCCAGCCACACATCAGCCTGATAGACTGTTAGTCACCTCTGGCCAGATCTCCATGCTGTCAACAACACAAAAAAGATGCCTTCCCCTGCTTGTGAGTTGCTCCCATAAGCTGCTCCAACTGTGAAAATCCTGAGACAAAAGGCCAGCTCACTTGGACTCAAATACCATAAGAGATTGAAAACTCTCCCACGTAGACTCCACACCTGTGTCCTGCATGACAAGAAAGGCATCCTAGTCATCAAAACAAACCCAGGAGGCCATCTGAGAGGCTCTCAGATTCCATCCAAGCCAGAAAAGCCCTATCCTGTCCTCCTTGGGGACCCCAGGTCCAACCTGCCTCCTCTTTACATTCACCAACCCCAAGCTGCTCAGCCAGCCTCCACGTCACCACCACCAGGTCTGCCTCCTGTACCACATCCTTCTGCTCTACTGCCAGCAATTCCTCCTCATTCTGTTTAATACTGAAGAAAGCTGTTGTACTTTATATTGGGTGTAAGCCTGGTTAAAGTTAAAAGTCCCCACCACTGTGGTTGATCTTGATGCTAGGGTGAACACAGTCCTCCCCTGAGAATGTCCAAACTGTCCCAAGGAAATCCCCACCTGCATCGAACAGTACACTTCTCCTGCCTGTAAAAGCCACTTCAGGGTCTCCCAGCTGCTAATGGCCCTCCATATATGTTGCCTCAGTTTTGTGCGTCCCACAGCCTGCTGGTACACCGGCCTAAGAATGCCCTCTTTTGCCTTCAGCTGGATCCAGTCAGTCAGCCCCTGTTTGCAACTGACCTGGACTCAACCTCCCAGAGGTTCAAAAACTTGTTTACCCTGCTCAGAGATGCCCTCACAGCTGACCTCACTGATTTCCCAGAATGACACCTAAGCTGTGGAAAGACACAAAAGCTCTGCTACAATATCTGGCATAAACTGGTTATTTCTGGGTCTTTTTTAGGCTTTAATCCAGTCCTTTCTTTCCTGCCCCACCCTGCTGGCCATGGTTTCTTGCTTTTTGTCCTCCTAAACTCTGTGGACAGTTGACCCAGAGAAATACAAGACAAACAGTAAGGCTCTTTTCCTGACTCTTTGTACAGTTTTGTTAGCTGGACTTGTTATTTTAAATTGTCTTCTTCATCTAACAAGCCTAGGGCTATCAGTTATAATTAGAAAATGTTTGTTGTTACTAATGTGCTGACATTTAATATTGGGGTCTGGATTCTGGCTCTGCTTAATTTAACCATGGGAAATAAAATTGCCAAAACCTAAGCTCCTGTTGAGTTTTGCTTGGTAAAAACTGACACCTGGGAGGTAATTCAGCCCAAAGTCTGGAAAGGACAAGGCTCAATAATTGTCATACTTGATCTTTGCCAAATTATTACAATTCCAGACTTATAGACACCCTCTTGTCAGAAAGGGCCTAGAGGACCCCAGGGAGAATCTGCCCTGGAGGTCTTTGATTTCTTTGTAGGCCCAGGAAACAAATATGGAGGACACACAGGCCTCAGCTGAAACACAACTGCCCCTCCTGGGCATGTGTGCCCACAGCCACCCACATGGGGAGAGGTGGCAATGATGACAGAAACAGACACCTTACAGTCATACCTCAAGACCAACAGGAGAAAACTGCTGCTCCTATGCTGGTAAGTCTGGAATGGTCCGAGAAGGCCTGAAACAATGACAAGAGAGATTAAATAGCTGAGCTCAAGGACAAAACTAGAAACAGGGATGATTCCAGGGTCTCTCTGCTCTGGGACCATGGCTTTTGGGACTCCTGAGGCTTTCATGTTAATTCCTGCAGTAGTTCCCTGCCTGATTAACTGGATTTCGTAAGTTAAGAACTGCCCCTCTTATGCAACTTTAGATAAAAAGAACAACCCCAGCTCTGGAAAAGATTTTTCTGAGTAATGACAAGAGGGAAAAATGAAAGGAGAAAATTGTACAAGAGAAATTATTCCTTTAAAAACTTTGTTCTTTTGAAATTGCCTTGTTCTGTAATTGCTTCATGGCTTTGTAATTACTTTCTTGACTCTTAACCACAAAAGCATAACTGAACATACAAAATACCTGACTGTGCTGTTGTACCAAGCTTCATGAACTGATGATCATTAATCCACCCTTGTAACCGATGATCTCGCCCTGCTAGCTAGTCAGAAGAACTGCCAGGCTGTGCTCTCTCACCTTTGTACCTCTGTTATGGTTTGTGTCTGGATGTCTCCACAAAGCTTCATGCAGTCATGGCTTCTAGAATTTGTGATTTATTCAGGATCCAGTACTGGGATTTTGAGTGGGAGTGCCACACCCATTCTAGGGCAGGTGGCCTACATACAACATAAGGGACAGAAAGTTTTCTCTATCTCTTCCCCTTTTGCCCTTTTTTCCCACTTTGCTTATGTTGCTCTTGCTGTCTTCTGCTGCCATAAACAATTGCCCTCTGCCAGACCACTCCACCGTGGAGCCAGCTGAGTATGGACTGAAACCTCCACAAACTGTGAGCCAAATGAACCTTTCCTTCCTTCATTTTGGATGTCAAGTATTTTGTCTCAGCAATGAGAGAAAAATAACTAAGATGGGGACACAGTGACAAATGCACTCCTAAAAACAACAGAAAGTAACCAACACAACCTCTTTTGTACTTCCTGCTTGTGCATCATATAAAACCCTAGACCATCAGAGATCAGGGCCTGATATTCTGGGAACGATATTGATCAGCACAAATTCTGGGTGTCGCTTCAGTGTTTATGCTTTCTGTTGCAATACCATCTTTAGCCAGAAAGCTTCCTGCTTATATCCCCAAATGCCCAAATCAACCCAAGATTCAAAACCCTCTGGTCTCAAGCATTCTAGATAAAGGATACTTTGCCTGTGTACATACTTGGCACAATTTGGGAGAGCTCTTCGGTGGGGCCAAAGAGCATCTGTTGCCTGGGCTAAGATTAGGCTCTGAGCTAGGACCAGGGAGGAGACCCTAGGGTTAGAGCTGCGTAAGAGCCAGGAGCTGGGATCTCAGTGCTCTCACTTCTGATGAATGAACTTCCTGTCCTATAAGGGTAGCAGGCATCTCTGAGGGTTCCTTTTCCCATTAATATGCTCACATCTCCTCTTCAGAATCCCACCCTCAGCAACCCCTGATGGGCAAACATTCTGCCTGGGAAGATGCAAAAAGGGCCCAGGCTGGGTTCCTCAAGGGAAAAAGCATTTACAAATCCTGGGAGAACCTAAGGTCCAGCCCCATTGAATCTTAAGTCTTGAATTTTTGTGGTCAAAATGTACTATGCCATCTAAGCTTATTTCCTTTCCTCTCTATCCAGGAAGGAATGATGAATGGGTTCCTTAGAACCTCCTTATAGCAAATAGCAAACCCATCATTAGCGGATGAGTGACAGATTATGAATGATCCAAGTCACCCCAAATCCACACCACTGGTTTCATTTTTACACAGAATACTTTTTAGAAATCACCAAAAAGAGAGAGAGAGAGAGAGAGAGAGAGAGAGAGAGAGAGAGAGAGAGAGAGAAAGCTAAATTGACGCTATTGGTTTTCTTGACTTTGCAAATCTGGGGAAACAAACTACAGATCACTCCTCCTTCCATTCTGCTAGAAACCTCGAGGAAGTTAAGTGGAAAATATCTGTCAAGACCCAGGGACAAAAATCTAAAATCATCTGTCTGGAGAAAGTGAAAAAATCCACTAAAACAAGTGAAATGTCTTTCCATTATTTGTCTCACTTTCCCGGTGACACTGCAGCTTCTCCGTTCCACCAGTCACAGCAGTTAATCATGACATCCCACTGACGCAGGCTCACACTGCTCTTGTTTAGGGTCTGGTACAGGCCGTTCTATTCCGCAGGAGCCTAATTTTTCTATGCAGATGATGTCTCTGAGCAGCCTGGAGGGGTAGAATCTGGGCCTGGCCCCCCTATTCCTTGGTTGCAAACTCACACTCAGAGGGAAGAAGATTGCCAGCAGTTGCTTCTGTTCTCAATTTAAAAACAGAAGTTCTGACTCAGAAGTGAACTTTGTTATCTTAAGCATGCCCCACTGCGACATCTTCTCTGATTCAAATATTTAGAACACAGAGAAAGGGTTCGGGGCAATTTTCAATAATGCAACACCAGTGTCCGGGGAAACCTGAGCACCAGACATCCAGGAGAGTGGAAGGCGGGGTGACATCTGAATCCCTAAAGGCAGCCAGCGTTGCCTGTGCTGCTGGGTGTCTCAAGCACAGCACTCCCCGTGCCCTGCTTTTCTCTGCCCCCGTTATGCTCCTTTCCTTCATCCTCTATGAAATATTTACTGAGCAACTGCTTTGAGTAAGAAAGGGCTTTGGCCTCCTGCATAGCTTGGCCTCCAGCTTAAGCAACAAGACAAGCAACTGTGAAATATTTAATAATGATACAAAGACCAGAACAAGCGATTCGGAGATAATAGCAGCCATAAGGTCCAGGGGAAAGAGAGAGAGCACAAAGGCTGACATGATGAAGGGAGGCTTGCTAGAAGACGCCAGACAGGGAGATGCATGTCAGACAGCAAAAGCAGAGGTGACACGTCCCAGGAGAGATGCCCAGAATGAGCCAATGGGAAAACGAGCTGCTGTATTTAAAGTTCCTGGAGAAACATTGAGGTTATTGTCAGCCAGGGAGGAATACGCTGGGAGGGAATGTGGTGGGGAAAGACCAACCCCTGGGCAGGGACGCTGGCCTCACAGACCACCAATCATGTCTCTCCTGCGGAAGCTGTCCATGGTGCACCTTGCCCAAGCTGCTACTGGGCCATTTCCCCTAGGACCTAGAGAAAGGGATGAAAGATAGAATGACAATGAGCCTACATGCTTCATAAACTTAAACTGAGTACAAATTAAAGTGCTCAAAATGCTCTTTAGGTATATTCTGATCAAACGAAGTTACCCCACTGTAGGTGTGGCTGAATGGAACAGCACTTGCCTAGCATGCGCAAACCCCTGGGTTCCATCCCAGCACCACCCTGCAGAAGAGAAAAAAATTTATCCTAATGACACACATTTGCACCAAGTATGCAGGTATAAGAAAGGTCAAGTTAAATCCAGTTGTGGTGTTAGCACTGAGGTCTGCCCCAGAGGGCTGGTGGAGCTCACTTCTGGGTATGTCAGGGTGGGTCATGCAGGTGTGGCTTTGGGATCTATGTCTGCTTCTTTGTACCTTCCTCTCTGACACTGTTCACTGGCGGTGTTTCCCCGCCACCATGAACTAAGAGCTTTATCCCCACCATGATGTTTCTGCCTAGAGCGAACCAACTCTGGACTGAGCTCTCTGAAACTTAATTTCCTCCCCGAAGCACTGTCTCATAATTCTCTCATGTACTGTGTTAGAGTTTCAACTTAACAAATTTTATAGGAACATAAACACTCAGTCCATTGCAATCTGATTAAGGGATTGTATTCACAATATGTAAAGAATGTCTTCAAGTCAATAAGAACAAGATGATAACCCAAAAGAACAGTACAAAAAAGGAGTACAGTGGCAAATAATTAAGACCACTAATGACCAGTAAATATATGAAGAGCCACACAAACCAACTAGTGAAGGGAAATGCAGATCAAATCTGCAGCAGCTGTCTCACATCCACCAAAACGGCTAATGTGAAAAATTCTAACAATGCTGTGTTTTGGCAACCAACATCACATTTCACTGCAACAACTGGAACTCTCATACAGTGCTGGGAGGTGAGCGCATTTTTACAAACTACTTGGCAAGATCTTCTAAAAGTAACATCATGTAAACACCATGACCCAGCAGTTTCACCCTTAATATATACCCGAGAGAAATGCTGTCATGGTTACTCTCTTGTTACTAGGACACAGTCCTCAAAACCCACCATTTAAAGTAGGAAAAGATTATTTCAGCTTACAGGCTGTAGGGTTTTCAGCCCATAGTCGGCTGGCTCCAGGAGAGGGCAGCATGGCGGAGGGGCATCGCAGAGGACAAACAGCTCATGGCATGGCAGACAGGAAGCAGAGAAAGATCAAGGAAGGGGGTTGGGAGATAGAACCTTCTTGGCCATGTCCCCCGCAACCACTTCCTCCACAGGCCCCCACCTCCCCCCTTCACATTTAGCTATAAACTTATCAGTGACTAATCTATCAATGAGTATGATGCCCCCATAACCCAATCACCTCCTAAAACCCCACCTGTGAACACATGAGGCTTTGAGGGGACATCCAGACTTAAACTATAGCATTCACACATGTTCACAAGAAGGCTTACACTCAACATTCATAGCAGCCTAGCTCATAGCAGTCCGAACTTGGAAACAACGAAATGTCTATGGGAGAAAAAATAAACTGTGGTAGTTACACAGCGGAGTGCTATCAGCAATAACCCAACTACTGAAATACAGTAATACAGCAAAACATAAACATATAAATATGTACATAACACCACAGTGAAAAAAGTCCTAAAAATAATCTAAATATTTGTGTTTCTAAAAAGAATGTTTAAAATAGACCACAGAGCCCTGATGCAGCAGAATACCAAATAACAGTTTTGTAAAGTGAGATAAAAGTGGGTGAGCTGATAAGAAGGAAAGGCCAAGAGAAAGGACTGAGAGACTCAAGTGCAGAGCACCACGCAGAGCTTGTCCCGTTTGTGTTAACAATCTGTCGCCTGCTGAGGCTTCCCCGAAGGACGTGTCAGAACTGGACAACCACACAGAAGTCCGAATGTTTTAACCATTGCATATTATTGTCTTAGTTTAAAAGAAAATGACCTGACATTTTAAAAAGAGGACCCACTAGTGATACGGTAGCGACTTGAAACAAGATCCTCAGAGATGTC